AAAATCCTCTTACTCAACTAAAATGGTGTTTGCAGTTTAATATCATAACTCAGTTCGAAGAGTATTCAACTGATTGGCAACCACTGGTTTCCATCTGCCTTAATTATCAAAACCTATCTATAAAAACATAAGTCTACTGATTAAAGCCATTGGAACAATGAAATTTAAGGTTACTAGGATAGAAAGTTTCATTTTGCTACGAATTAAAAATTTCAAATCTATGAGGTACGTATGTATATCTTATGTTCATAAAGTGGTTGAAAAATAATTCTTTTACCCTTTTGATGCGATAAATCTATCCCACTTAGATGAAAATCATCTGAACCTCACTACTGCTAACGTGTATCATTTCATTACACAATAGTGAAATATTCGCATAAACTCCGATATTTCTTTCCAATTCCGGACTTTAATTTCGCGGTTTAAAAATAACAACACATAAACCTGTATACGTAGCACCTACGGTAGCAATGGAAGCACTTAGATGGTCCAAAGGTTGTTTAGTCTAGTGTTTTATCTCCAATGTTTTATTATTTCTCTCCGGATTCTTTCATTTTTGTCTATGGCTGGCTAATTTCACACAATATCGATTTTATAACTTTATTATTATCCAAAAATTTGAAGGGATGAAATTAGGATTGTTTTCGTACATTCGCTTGTCAATATTTATTGATTTAAAGAGGAAATTAATATACCTTCTTTGCTTAAAGTGCACAAATAATATGGTTATCTAGTTAGCGTTTAATGAATAATAACTTGTATACAATAAGTGGGATAGATCTCTCGATATAACTGAATGTTTACTCAATTGTTAGTTTATACGCAGATATTTATTGATTTGATGGATGACTGTATTCAGTCAGAAAAGTTATCTTTGCCCTGAATGGTTGTATTGTATCATAGTAGAAAGAATAGTGGTACTATGTCCATTGATAAGAATTCATCGGTTTCCTAGTAACGTTCAAATTATTAGTGAATAACTGTTGATTACTTAAGGGTCAGCTAAAATTACTTTGTTTTACTGTTTCAGCAGTTTGATATTCATTTGGTCATCCAGAACAGTAATGAGTAATTACTGCCAATTTGTAGAAGTATGTAACTGAACAATCCAGTGGGTGTAGTTAACTACACATCATCTCAGTATTTCGGTCCATACAATTGCCACGAGTTATGTGGATTTTGGAGGGGCTAATGATACTGGCTGAGCGCTCAAACCTCGTCAGGTGGTGGGGGGTTCGGACTTAAAACCCAGTGGTTAAAAGTTCAATGCCTAGGTTAGTGGTCGGCAACTCTACACTACACTGCCTAAATCGTCTTGAAAAAACTCTGGGTACGACTTGGCTATAAGTCGATGATCCATAACGTATACGTTAGTGGAAGATGAGTTTATCCACTTAAAATCAAGTATATTTCCTCTCTATTCTACTTTCAGTATGGAGTCTTGATTAGATAACAATAACTTCCAAATTCAAACGTTCTAACGGTAAACACCTAGCCCTGATTTACACAAAAAGAATTAAAATGATCAGGTATATTGGTCACAACCAAATATATCAACACAGACAACAACATTTTCCACGGCATATAACTTATCATAAAACACAAAACTGCTTATAGGAAAAAACAGTTTATTGTCATCCACTTAACTCTATGATTACGAAATGATGGTTAGTGGTAGAAAGCTTTGAAATTTAAAATACAGCTAGTCAACAATAAGTTTTACAAAACGTCATCATGAATAGTGTTGAGGTACTGTACACATCCCTACGTAAGGAAGCAAACTTGTAAACTCCCACTGACATTGGTTTATTCAGCTTGCGTAACTTTAATGCACATCTAGGCGTACAAACATGGTTTGAACACGAGCAAACTATACAGAAACCTATAATTCTTAGCAAAGAAATTTATTAATTTTTAATAAGTCTGTAACCTGTGCAACGGGCATCGATTGGTGCTATAACATAATTTGATAGACTAGGTAGAAGGCAACGGGAGGTTTTGAAACTCGATCGGTAGTAGATTTCTTAATGGTAGAAGTATTTTTGTACAAATAATTGCCAGTAATTCATAAATCAAGTGCTTTTCGCAAAAATAGGGTGAACCAACTTTTAGCAGTATACAACTAACCAGAACCAAGGTACCTTAGTTTGTAGTACGTCTGCTACTTCCAAACTGATTTTTAATTCTGAAAAGATTACCTGACTGACAACAAAAGAGTAGACATATTCTATTCAGCGCAGTAGAGAATTCGTGGAGGACCTTGACAACTATTGGTCACAGTAAACCTTGTCGCATCCAGTAAAGAAGAGACAGATAATGTATCACAGGGTCTCCATCGAAAATGAGAAATTTCTTCATACTACACTTCAGATTTTATACTGCATTGATAATTGAATCTTGAAATCTGATTGAGCTTTTGCCCCAATCATGCAAAAATTCAGCAAATAAACTTTAAATGTCACAAGTGAAAAGCAAAGGGCTTGATCTGAGATTTGAAAGTGAAGTTCTCCTGATTTACCTACGACTGACTGACTAAAATTAACGTTGAACATCATCTACAGGCGCATCAACTCAAGTTCCGACATTTCACAGCAGTAAATAAATAAATAATTAGTGGTACTTCTTTCGAGGGGGATAAAAACAGAAGTGTTCAGATGAATTCTACTAGATGGTCTCGAATGAGAAAGTAAGGAGACCGAGCAAAGCAGATACGATGGTTGGAGGTATCTTAAAAGTCTTACGCCGATGAAGTGATAAGAATGTTTCTTATCTGTAAGTTTGCCCCAATAAGTTGTTCCCGATCGATACCAACTTCAAACAGGTATAGACTGTTTAACTTGTCGACTGTTGGCAGTCAGCTAACAGTGGAAGCAGACAGGTAACGCTGTCATCGTTAAAGAGGATTGGTGAAGATTACCGCTCTATTTACATTAGATACTTGCTTTCCAACGACACCTTACTTCGACTAAGTCAAAATGGAAGCAGCGGATAAACGACTGCAAAAATTTGGCTCTAAACTCAAAAAGGAAACATAGATGGTGCTTAATAACGCGGATATGCAATTATCAAAATACGACAGTAGTTCGCATCTTAATATCGCCTGACTTTACACCTACTTTGTTGTGGGAACAGCGGGGAAGACAACTGACGACCAATAACCGAAGAGTAGTAAAAAGAATTCAATCTCTACAACTTTTTCAAAACTCATTGAAGATAATCTGATCATGATGTGGAGTAAAGATAATATAAAATTCGGCTGGTTATTTGAAATGACCACCAGTAGTCGATGAGAAGTAAGAACATTATTCAGACATGGGTCTCGGGGAATAATCGGTAGATGCCTATTCTCAGTGAAAACAATCAACGTGAGAAAAGTTTTAGTAAATTCCTGAAGTAAGCGAAGTATTAACTAATGCACCTCTTTTCCCGGTTTTCAGGTTTTTTGTTTGTCGTCAACACGTTAGATGTCGGTAGAATAGATTTCAAGACTAACTGGTATGAAAATTTGTTCTGTCATAGTTCTTACAGTCAACAGAAATGGAATACACTACATACATTCCCAATTCCGAATCCAACTACTACAGCTATCGCTTCGAATCACAGTCAGCGAAATGGAGAGCAATGTATCAATCACTGAGTCAAAAATTCGAGCGGATGATAGATCAAAATATGGCATTCGAATGTTTTGATCGCTACTCTCATACATAACGATGAGACACACTACCAGAAATATCGAAAATCACTACTTTTATTTTATTCTCTAGGTACAGGACGATTCACTCAACCTCTTAGTAAATGTAATCAACATACAAAGTCAATCTAAAATACACGAAAACTCAATGCAGGTAACAGACAATTTACACTTTGGCACAAAAGTTCAGTACCCACAGTTAGAAACTTTCATCTCTACTTCAGAGGAGGGACTATTAGTCATACAATAGGACATCGTGAACTGCTAAGTAGTATCCCGGTCTTCTGACAGGCAGTCAGATATGTCGCATGCACCAGAGATGGCGTATACTGGGGAGTAACAAACGAGCCTTCAGCACTCGAGTTGAGATCTCATCAACCAACCAAATTAGGGCTGATGCAACCTCCCAAGTAAGTAGAGTGGTTAACGCATCTTACCATTTCCCTTCCATCTGTAGAGGAGGAGTCAGTGCATACCGGACGTAGAGTAAAAAATGCAAATGAAGTGATAAATTACTTCAACTGACAAAGTGAAATTTGCATAACAGATGAGAACTGAACGAACTGGTCAGACACAATACTGCAGAAATCAGTTACAAAAAAGCTCACTGTTTTCTGCTGATCTATAAGACGGTTGTTAACAGTAGAAAAGTCAGTTATCATAAACGACTTGTACGAGAAGAAATCAATGGAAATAATTCCCTTTTATTCCACATTTCTTCTTAAAAACAAGGAGTGAATATCAGTCTACTTTGACGCATACTGTTTGTTATGTCTAAGAGTACTGCATACACAAGTAAATTCATAAAACAAACAAATCTGCTTCTCAAAAATCATGTGAGAATTTCTTTTGCATCAATCTTTAGTTCAGAATGAAAACAGCAAGGTATCGCATAACTTCACTTCAAGTAAATTATCTTATAAAGCAAAGCAGAAATAATCAGTATAATTAAAAATAATCAAAAAGAAATGAGCAGAAGTTTTATTTAATGTTGTTATTTGTAGTCCCGAATAGGACGGAACGCGCGTCCTGGATTCTACTGCTAACCACTATCCATCATTAATATTGAAACCAAACAGAGGCAATATCGAGGCATCCGTGTAGGAGTCCATATACGAATAGAGACCGGTTAATTCGGTCCACTCAACGACAAGATAATACAAGTAACAACATCACAACTATACCCGTTGCACAAAAAGTGGCTATCGTGACTCAGTGGATAACGCTCTGGGGTTTGGTGCGATCGGCCCCGAGTTCGAGTCCTCGTGGAAATAACATCGCTCACTGGGAGGCAACTACATCCAGCCGACGAGTCCCATGTAGGACAAAACGGGCGTTCTGGATTCCACTGCTAGTCACTATCCATCATTGTTATAGAAGTAATATTTCACAGAAAAAGAGATGTTTTTATTGGCAAATTTACACTGGTACACAAGTTCAAAATAAATTACAAATGAAAACGAAAGAAAAAGTAGATTAAATGAAAATGAACAACTATGCACTTGTGTATGTGTTTGTGTGTCGAAGAGTCATGAAATAAAATGCACACAAACACTAACAAATCAAAAATAAACAAATAAATAAAAACAAATATAACATTCACAATAGGTTAACATGTGCATACTAATAATTGAATAAGGTGATGCAAATGTTTCAATTAGAAAATGCAAAATGTATTCCAGGGTTTCTGGAAACCAAAACAAAGGCGAAATGCGCTTGAAAATACAGACGTGGAAATGACAAAAATGCATTTGTACAGTAGGACAATTAATAACAATGCATATATCTGAACTACAAAACTTGTTTTATTTTTCAAAATAATCTTTACACCATTTCAACTAAGCTTTTCTCTTTTTTTGTTGATGCATTAATATAATACTATGCATGAACTGTGGAAAATGAAGAATTTACTTGAAAGCATTCAATGCATTTCTGCATCGTTAGACCTTTTACACACAGAGTTGATGTGGTTTAATTACAAAATAAGAGTACTGGGATGGACATTCATTGTTATGGTAGGAAAAAAACAGCTCACTGCGAAAGAAGAGAAAGTGTTGAGAAGATACTATGTACAAAGTGATAGGTAGAAACAAAAAAACAAACAGTAGACAGTCAGTCATTACATCATGACACATACCAAAAGGAAAACTGGTATTGAAGGATACTGAGATTGAAATGCATAATTGTTGGATCATGAAAATCAAACATTAGTCTGCGTCCGTTGATTATATCTATCTAACAAACTGGTACAGGTATTATTATTGTCATCATTACTATTACTGTCATTATTATTCATATCAGATGACGATGAGTGATGAAAATGTATCAGATTATTATTCTGTTGATGTTGCTGTGAAATCTCATCTAGTCCGCAGGAATTCGATAGTTTTCTCGAGGAATTGTCTTGTAATGAATGATGATGATGATGGTAATTCTGATAAGGATAGTTAACACTATTGTTATTATTGACAAAAGGCATACCAAATCGTATGGGATTCTGCGTTGCTGCTGCCGCTGCTAAGGACGAATAATGACTAGCTGGATAATAGGCGTAAGATCGAGGTAAACGATAATGTGAAAATGCTGGTAAACGATTACTGTTATGATTATTATATACATTATGCTGCGGTGGTAACGGGAAATGATCTAACCTCATAGTCTCAGGTGATGTAAAGCTTATACTCCGATTAACACGTACATCTGGTTCTTTATTTCTCTTATCATACAAATGTAAGTAGTGCATTTGGTGTTCAAGATTGTTATTTATTACCAGACTGGGTTGTGGTTGTCCAACTGTTGTCGATGGGCACTTGTTAATTGGATAACACTGACCGTCTAGCCAAGTATTAGTGTGTTGTAAGTGAGAACACTTTTCATCTACACCCCTTTTCTCCTGTGAATTCATTGTTGTACGTTCACACGACTCGTTATGATTACAATAGAAAGCTAGATAAGAGGAGGGCATGCAAAGTAAATGGTTTGGTGGAGTTGCTGAAGGATTACTGCCATTACTTCCATCATTATTAGCACCATTACTATGATGTAAATGACCAGATGTTGTCCTCACGGCACTACATCCATGATCTATTGGTACAAGATGTTCATTAGGACTTGTAAAACTGCTGCCACTTTGGCTATGATTACATTGAGGAATATAAACACCAGTGTCTGGACCAAAGCGTAGTGGGCTAGCGAGGCTATGGAAGTAACAATTCGGCATAGTGGGAAGAAGATTTGGTCTGATTAGGTATGTCTGTGAAATGTCCGGCAAACCAACCTACAAATAAGATGAAATTAGCATGTAAGATGAATACCTAGACTAATCACTATAAACAAGATCATGCAATAATTCTAAATCTACCTATAACTGACTCATGTAAAAACAGTTATCACAGAGTAAAGCATCAAATCACCACCATGAACGAGGGTTCCACGTTTGCCTTGGAAGCTACATGGTGCACTAGCAAGATTTTGAACTGTAATATCAGTCAATCGATAAACAAAGGTAACGCAGTAACCAAGAGTGAATTTAAGTACAATTCAGTGCACCAGTCATATAATGTAGTGCCTAATTGTGCAACATCGTTATCTAAATCTCGATAAAGGGAGCATAGAATTTTGGCTGGAATGTTAGACAAATCAGGCAGTGAGAAACAATTATTTTCAGAGTGACATTTCGAGCACAAATTACTGCTTACTATCACACTACATCATGATAAAACTAATGAACCAATATGGAAGTCAAACAGAAAAAGACTACAAGGGTCTGGGATTTGGTTGGCGAGAAAAACATACCAAACATTCTTAAATTCCTAATCAAGGTGCCCACAAGACTCTGAACATTGTCAGCGTCTTCATTCTACAGAACTATGGCATATGCCTACTCTAAATCTACCAAGATTTCACCTGTGACAAAATCAAACACTCCAACGCCAAACGACGACATGGAGACCTCCATAAGAATGTCTATGATAAAGTTGAACAAGAATCGATGGACACCATGCGATGTACAAAACACATTTGACCCTGCTTACCAAGTTGTTTCAAGCTACTGGCAGATTTCTCGACATCCGCCGAACTTTTCTTCGGTATTTAAGTCTTCTCGTCTTTAAATCAATCGCAAATCTTTCTCCACTTTCCAGACACATGTTCCGTCAGTGGCGGTAGCTTACCAAAGACCCTCACCAGAAATAAATTATGGCAATATGATCTGATCCACTTGTGTCCACATCTGAGTTGAGAACGGTGGACGCAATTTCAGACAGTGCATCTCATGTCTGAAGTTAGTGGTGGTCAGAAGAAGATGGTTGCCTGAGGATAATTGTAGCAGGCGACTGGTGTTATCCATTCGTTTGGCCAGGATTCCGAAAGCGCGACCCAAGTGAATATCTACTTGACTTGGCCTGGCCACTTGTGCATTTAAGTCACCTGACAAAACACCAACGAGAAAAGCCTCGCTTTTCAGTAGGAGGTTAGACAGTTTTCGGTAGAACTCATCATTCAATGAGTGCTTAAGCAGAGATTCAAAAGAGAAAGTGGTAAGTCTCGCTGTTCTTTTAAGTATTCCCAGCACCATTTATTTGAAAATACGCAGCTGACTGTCAACTGGGATCCAGTCAAGTAGTGCATTTTTTGCATGACCACAAAAACTAGCAATCGAATCCCCCAAAAAGGGGGAATTCGCAGATTTCACGATGTTGGTCAAGATAAGGTTGGGTGAATAACCACACATGGCTAGTGTATACGTGTTTTCCAAACACAGTACACATCCATCACTTGTAGTAATGCCAGGCATTTGACCAGTGAAGCTTGTTGGCCTATTTGATGGAGGGCGTAGATATTATTTATTATTTCCCCCTTAGGTTCCTAGTGGAATATAGGGCTTCAGTAGCACGCCTCCGTTCCACTCTCTTCCCTGCAGTCTTTTCAACCTCACCTCCCAAAACTGCCCACAAGCTTTCATTTCCTACTCACATGATCTCCTCCACGTCACCCTCCCCTCGGACGCCCAACTCGTCGCTCCCCATCTCGGTTCCACTCGAGGGCCTGCTTTGACGCGTGATGTCCTCAGTCGGCCTTCCCAGTGTATGCCCAATACATCTCCACTTTCGTCTTCTGCATATTTGTTGCGTAATAGGTTCTTGGTTGGTTCGTTGTCATCTAGCCAGAATTCCTTCTTGCCTATTCTTATTCCTTCTGGCAATCCATCTGATCTTCAGTATCGAGTGGGCGTAGGCGGCACCTGCTGATGAATGTCTGTAGTTTGTTGGAAATGCTTTCCGTAACACGCCAAGTTTCTCAACAATATAGCAGCACTGACTTGACGTTGGTGTTGAAAATCAGGTTCTTGTTCACGCTTTACGCTGAGTGCAGTAGATCTCCTCACTGATTTCAGATTAATGAATGCCTATCTTGCTGTACTTCCGATCCTGGCTGCTTTCACGTCCTCGTCTGTGCCGCCTGTGCCTGTAGTGGAAACGATGTTGCCTAGGTAGGTGAAAGAGACTACTTCCTTCAGGTTTTTCCCGTCAATGGTGATTGGTGCTTGTTGTTGATGCTATTGTTGGTTGGGTATCTTCATCACCTCCGTCTCCCCTACGTCCACCTAAAGCAAGTCCCGTCTTCGCTGTTTCTCCTGCCAAATTGTTAGTTTTCCCCTGTTGATCTTCGAGCTTATGCGACAAGATATTGGACATAAATCATCATCAGAGGCGAAATCCAAATCTTCTTCTGGGGTCTTTTCATCCGTCCAGTCAGCGTATGCCCATCTTCTCGCTCCTCACAGTTTCTTGCGTGATCCAGTCCACTCGACCACAATCGGGAAGATCATGGGTGATAGTAGGCAGACTTTGCTTACTCCTGTCTGTCTTCACTTTAGAGGCATCACTGAGCATTCTTTTATAAATCACTTGGTATGTGGCGTCATCATACAGCTATTGAATTAGGTTGATAATAATTTTGTTTTATTATTTATATTTTGTCTGTGCTTTGAAGTTTCTATTAGCGGTTGGATTGGTTTTCCGGTGTAGGATTGCTAGGCGTATGCCTAACCTTCCCTTTTTATGCATGCTTAGGACCGGCTAGTAACTAGTTAACCAGGAGAGGGCGTGGACATTAGGAGCTCCAATATGTTGTTTAGGGCACGGTTTAGGAACAAATGGATGCTATTCCGCGTACTCAAATTATTGCTGAGAGCTGCAAAGCTATAACAAATTAAAGATGTAGGATGTTGACCCAGAGATAAGAAGGGGCAGTAGAAGGTAAGAATGTGTAAGGTGGATAATGCTTTAAGGGGAATTGGGTGTTGACAGAACTGTGAAGACAACTGGTATTTCCCAACTATCTACAGAGCGTAAAGTTATATTTTCTCGAGGTACCTGAAAAAGAAGGGCTATTGTGTGACCACAGAGCCAAATGGATATCTGTGAGGCCGGTCACACATGATCTTTCTAGAAGTTTGATACTTTTGTCAGCTCTGAATCCAACCACCAGCGCGTAAAGCGATGGTATGCCACGGGGTAAGGTCTACTACTATACTAAGTAGAAAGAGTGGATTCCGATTCTGGGACGATTGAGTACATAAATCAAAGGACCACAGTATTTGACATGACAATTATCAATATTAGGAACCACTCTCTTGAAATAGAAATTTAACTCAGCTACCAGATACATGTTTATGCAGCATTGTTATAGTGTGCAATGAAATTCAACAGATTTTCATAAGAAACCCTAAATCCCCGAAGCCTTCACAACCAATCGCTTTGCTGCGGAGGTTTTAGAAAAAGCATACAAACCTATAAGTAAATACTAGATAAGTTGTAGAGACAAATTCAATAGGATATGCCTTTCTAAAAAGACCTAGAGATAGCCAAAACCCATTGTAAACATATATAAATCGTTGCATTTAGTACGTATTTTGATGTTGCAATACACCTTGTGTTATCTTACTGCCTTTCCTATTTATCAAGGAACCAAGCGACCTTCAAGCGTGGAACCTGAAGGTCACTGTTCAAAAGTCCACTCATATATATGTACTAAAAATGCACACACACTGAAATTTCTCTCTAGAATACCTATAAATTAAATCTAATAGAATTATTCTTGATTAGTAAAAAGTCACTTCATTGGAACAAAGCAGGAAATTAAGTGGCGATACATTATCACACAAACAGAAATGACCTCGAGCTCCGTATAGAAACTAATTACTCTGTTTTCGATGCTTCACCGTAATATAGGAAGGAGTTAACAGTAAGAGGAAAATATTAGGATAAATTCGAAGCACAGAAATGGAGATGAGAAATACAAAGAGTCAATGACCGAGGACGCGATGTATTTTCAATATTAATCTAATCACAAATGATACTTTGTAATCTCATAGTTGTCACTGATTTGAGAAAATTCAGCGGAAAGTGGGAATATGATGAAGAAAATAGAATAATGGAAGTTACAAAGTGCAAATGCTGCAGGGCCGGAGAGAATCGTATTACCATTTAAAGTGAAGAAGTGCAACTACACTCAATCGGAGCTCAAACTCTGAAAATACCTTCGCGAGGAATGAGGAAGACATATAGTTGACAATGGTCGTTTAAAACCGTCTAACCAATCTGAAAAGCTTCATTATCAAACAAACAGGCGATAAAAGTGGCATTCAAGTAAACAGCGGAGCATTAGTGTGCGTAAAATTTCTTTGAACATGTATGTATAAAGACAACAAATCGAAGTTGGCAAATGAAAACCAAAATAACCAGTGAGAGAAAACTGATGTCTTACTTGATAAGGTGTGAGGCCTGCTGCACTTTGCCAGGATCTGCAGATTTGTTTATCAGCATTTGCAAAGGGTAAGTGTACTTGAGATGGATTCATGCAACCAGCAAGTTCTGTATGACCATTTGGATAGACTGCTTGATATAATTCAGAATTCAAAAGTGAGCAATTAGAGTAAACACCCAGATTATTATTCACATTATCACGGTTGACGTATGATTCAGCAATGTTCAAGGACTCAGTAGCTTTGGCAGAACTTTGATCAAGTGAATGTGCTTGTGAGAAAGAATGAAGTGATTGATTGAAAGACGCATTTACTTGAGTGTCACTAGGTACTTGCGACTTGGGACTATCTAAATGTTTTTTCAGATCCGGCTGAACAACTAGAGGAGCAGCCACTGAAACACTGTGAGATCTTTCTCTTTCACAAGGCATAAGGTGATGTCTAGGTACATGAAACACATAAGGAATTGTTTTGGGATCCCAAAAAGCTGACGGACTGTGCATAAATGGTGCAGTGGAGTTAGACACACCAACACAGTTGTTGGTTCCAAAACAGGGACATACATACATCGGGTTGGAGCAGTTTAAGGGTAGACCATATGGTACATAGTAGCTACTGAAATTAGGCGGCATTTTGTTAGAGAACTGCATATCAGAAGATACTGATAATGGCACACTACAGTGACCACTTCTGTTGTTATAAACTTCACTTGATTTATCTTCCGGATAAGCAGAATGTGATTCCTTACCCAATGACTCTGCAGTGGAGCTGTCGTTACACTTGCTGAAATTCAATGAGGCAGGATCTATTGTACTTGACCCCATACTTACTTCCTGATTCATATGGTCATGTGAACAAGTAGATGAGACTAAATTGCTTGGTATGTGGGAATCCGATTGTGGAGCGACGGCAGGATATAACGTAACCGCTGCAGCCGCAGCTGCGGCAGCTGCTACTGCAGCGGCAGCAGCCGTACGGCGCTCATCGATTGCTGGTATTTGTGGATAGCAGAGAGGATATTGTACACTGTTCCAATCCGGAGTAACATATGGTGCATAGTAATCAGGATAATAAAATAATGGGGTTAAGGCAGGGTATGGAGTAAGCATAGGTTGCTGGACATTGTGAAGATAAGGTGGGAAAACTTGTGATGTAGAACCTGATAACGTATGAAGTCCAGAATGAGTGGCGGGAGTGGTAAATTCAGAAGCCTGATTAGTATGAACAATTGCAGCACGTGCAGGCGAGTCATAAATTGAAGCAGACACGGAATTTGGCGACATAAAATTTCCCATTTGAGTGCGAGAAGTAGAAGGTGGTACCTTAGACGTTGGACGATCTGATTTCTTAGGTAAATCAAAACAGGCAGGAAAAACTTTCACTGGTTCACATTCTTCATGAGATAACTTAGATAGATCGTCATTCGGTTTTTTAAAAGGAATTGCATTCAGCACAGCATCTGCCGACTCATAAGCTCGAGAAACATACAAGTGATTAGGTGTAGCGTCCTTCTGAGAAATACTCTTATCACCTTCAGAACCATTGTTTGCTTTTCCACTTAATATCTCCTTAGGATTCGCATGACTGTTACTCCGGTTTTTATTGGACGGAAGTATATTTTGTGGGCGCATCCATGAAACCTTAGTAGAATTAGTTCCGGATGTTGGAGATGATGGTAATTGCAGACTCTCATCCACCATTAGTTGCTTTTCATATTGTGAAAGACCTGCATGATGCCAACGACCATGAGATTCTCCATGAACATTCTCATTTCCTTCCATGGTGTCTGAAGCACGATGTTCTTCAGCTTGTGAAGGATTTTTATGTTGATGTTGTATTTTAATGTCAACCTGATCACTCTCATTCGCATGACGCCGACAGTAATTGCGAGACATATCTTTATTCGGACTGGTTTGTGAACTGGACTCAGGAAGCAAACGGATGTTTGGGACGACGAAGATAGATAAAGCTAGACAAGTGATGTGAAAATGTGAAGCAATATAAACAACAATCATGATTAAATCTCACGGAAAACGAAATGAATAATATTTTGAAGTATTTAATAAAAATATTGAAGCACATGCGCTTCTGGTGTTCTAAGTGAAATTAATGATGATTGATACATTAAGCAGAATGCCATTAAACTAACTTAAATGTGAAAACCATATGATATGTAACCAGTAGATAACCTTGACGCTACAAAATGAAATACAGAGTTACTAAAAAGCGTTAATCAGCGCATGAATTTTACAAGTATCCATTCGTGTATAGACACGACAGAGTAGTCAGTCGAATTGTCAGAAAACAATACACCGCACCGCCCACACTCCTATTTGACAGTAGAAACAACTGGAAAATTTGCTTCGTTACAATACACGCTACATCCTAGAGTAGCACAGAAATATCAACTAAATAAATATGATAGAAGTGAAGGAAATATAGGAAGAGTATTTATTAATAATTTCTGACTAACGCAGTCACGTGAAAGTACTTTTATACAGTAAAAGATAAAGAATAGGGGTGAAAATGTAGAGCTAGTGGATTGAGAATATCTGCTAGTACTGACTGATGATATCAATATGACCAGTGGAGACTGAAGAGCATTGAATAATTTTTTCTGAAAATCAGCAGCAATATGCATACCGAACTGCTTCGTGAGTAAAAGGTGAACTGGACTACAATGTGGTAAGTGTCACCAATATCATAGTGCTAGGTTAACCCTTCAAAAATACAAACTCTATTCAAAACCTGGAACGTGCCCTCAAAACTAACACTTATGAACTGATTTATTCAACTATTAGTTGATATGTTTGGTAATGAATTTGTACGTTTCAGATTCTATCACTGAATAATTCGACGCGTATTTCTTTATTGTTAAATAACGGTAAAATTGCTATGAGATTGTAATGAAAAGTAATTCAGGATAAGAAATTTACTCATTATATATGTGAGTTCACTTATTGTTTATAAAAAGGTGTACAAAGTTTAAAAAAAAGGTGAAAGACTTACTATCTGGTAGGCAAGCAAGTTGAGCAGTGGGTAGATGATTCGAAAAGTATACGCTACGCATAGCAGCTCTAGCACTGATTCTTTTAGAAGGTTGAAGTTGCAGAAATTGTAGTGCCAACGATTCGGCATGAGGTGCACGACTAAGACGTGATATAACTCTATGCAAAGGTCGACTGGGATAATAATGTAGGCGTCTTTGTTTATGATCACTATCTCCAGGTTTACGTGATCTTTCTTCACATCCACTGGTATCACTACTAAATCCTGTTGATGTACTCTTCGTTCTCTGCAGAGATAAATTAGGCTGACCATCACCCAACAAACTTTTGTATTTGGGCAGTTTAGAAACACCAGGCCAAGTTTCTTCAGTCGGTGTACCCATAATCTAAGGAGTACGAAAGTATAAATAAGCAAAATAATTACTTCTATAAACATATAGGGAGGATTTATTATTTTAATGGCAAGCTAGTAGATTATATGTTACTTTCGTAGGATTTTTGTCGGTGATACTAGTAACATGCAAACAATTGTGTATCGCGAAATTTCTCAGAGAGTGTCTTTTTATTTATTAGACAAGATTGATATTCATCGGTCTATCTGTCTTCCTGATGGTGACACCAATTTAACCGACTTTAGCGTGGGCAGCTGTGTAGCACTGCTAGCTTTCAAAATATAAACATGGCTTACATCCTTAAAAGCATAAACTAGAAGAAAAGGTAAATTTGACGATGTGTAGTAATATCAGTTCAAATATCTATGCTAACAATTCACCGCTTCGCCATAACCGATATCTTAATCTGATCAAGTCAAGACAGAATAAGAACTACCAACACATAGATGCATAAGTGTATAAAGAATGAATAATTTAGATGAGAAACTGGTAGTTTATTTCTCCAACTGAAAATAGCGGACTATTTTTTCAGCCACTGCCAATATTTCGGAGATAAAGTGGTACATCTAATCACAATAAAGCAGATATTTCTATTTTATCGTTTACTGTAATGATTGATTGAAGTAAGAAGAATTCAGATAACGATGAACAGCTTAAATATTCAAAAAACTGTACGCCTAAAGGAGCATCCATTGAATAATAAAAAGTATGCTGAGAAATCTGTGAAAGATAAGAATCTAAAGAGAAATCTTTTTCGATTGTTTGTGATCAGAATTGCATCATTAACATGTAAATGTCACGCCTAACCAACTTGAATGCCACCAGTAAATTATGCATAAAAAGGTTGTGCAAATAGTTGGATCTCTACCCAAAAACGAAAACTAAAACATACCCGAAAAATTTTATCCAGCTGATCCACTGAGTCCTTTGATCCAGGAAAAGCTGCCACTCCGGATATCATTTCGGTGAAAATACAACCAACACCCCTATAACAGACGATACATTATTAGTGTTTAAAAAAAATATACCGCTTAAACTAAACATCTTGATAGAATTGTGGTAAGGGATACAAAGTAATGTATCACACCTCAAGGAGAGTCACCCACATGAATTTAAAACAGGAATATAGAAACTCAAATTCACAGGTTCTAGTTAATTATTTTTTTTCGCAACAAAGTATAACACAATAAACAAAGAAAATATAGAAAATGGGAAACATTTGGTCACGTACAGTTTAACTAATTACAGTGTTTATTTTGAATGAACAATTTACTCAGCACTTATAGTATTATCTTGCAATTATCCTCATAAGTTTTCTTCTAATGAGCTTGCTATGGTTTTATTTATGTTGAATCCCTAAAAAATAACTACCGAATGAGTGTTATCTAATTTTGTTGTGTCGTCAACATGATCAAAAGGCATGGAGGAATTAGTTGAGACCTAAACAGGGCGAGAGGGGTTATGAATATCCCGTCTTCTCTTACCAGTCAGTGACTCAAAAGCGTGGGCAAAGCATAGACCAGTGGTGTTATCTTTATACAGCGAGACGTGGCGTCTAAATAAGCATAATCAAGTGACAGCGTTAAAGTTATGTTTTTTGGTTATCATCGTCCCAAACAATGAGGCAAGCCTAGTTACTTATTTGAGAGCAAGTGCTATTACCACAGATCTTTTGTTAGCTAGGATATGATAAGTGAGATTTAAGCCTTTTACACTGCCCAAAAGTTACAAGTAAGCTATACTCTACCAAGCAATAACACCCAATGAAAAATACATAGTGAACCATCATTCAGGTAAATGAGTAACAAACAGCTATCAGTCAGTATCACGTTTATTATACAACTGAAATGAAAACTAAAAGGGCCCATAACAGACGATTATGTAAATTATTGTCTCTAATACATGATAATTATTCAAACAAAGTTGACCGAGCATCCGAAAACGACTGGTACTCAGTAAACGTATTCCATAAGTATTTTGTAACCATAAAAACCACTTAGCGTTTATCTCAGGTGAAAGTATTGCGGTAGTTGGATTTAAAGGTTAGTACAACTCATGATTAACCTCGCCTGGTTAACTAGTTCACTAGTCACTGGCCGATCCTAAGCATGCATAAAGAGGGAAGGTTGGGCATAGGGCTAGCAACCCTGCACCGGAAAACCAATCCAACCGCTAATAGAAACTTCAAAGCACAGACAAAATATAAAAAATAAAACAAAATTATCCCTCACAGGAATCGGAGGGACGAAATGACACCGGTTGGTGAAAGCCTTCGGGAAGCCAATTAGCCAATGTCTCTTCTCTTCTCTCGATGAAAGCGAAAGTAAACATGGGGACATAGAATTTCCGCACCGTGTATGAACCTACCAAGGCTGCTCAGATTGCACAAGAAATCAGGAGGTACGGCGTAGAAGTGCTAGGAATCTGCGAGAGCATATGGAATGGAAGTGGACTCTCCAAACTGTCAACTGGAGAGTCAATAATCTACTCCGATATTGTCACCCAGACGAAAACCACCAGCACATCGAGCAAGTGCATATCATGATGTAGCCAAATGCATCACAAGCTCTTATTCAGTGAGAACCAATCTCCTCCAGGATCATAACACCAAGGTCCAACTCAAAAGGAAGGAAAGTCACAATCATACAGTGCTGCACTACGCATCTACAAATAATGCAGGGCAAGAGAAAAAGGAGGAATTCTACAGACAACTTCAATCAACACTGGACAAGACCTCGGTTGGTGACATCAAAATTCTAATGGGCGACATGAATGCCAAAGTGGGAGCAGAAAACACAGGGAGAGAACTCATCACGAGTCGAGAAGCGCTCGGTGAAATTATGAATGAGAATGAAGAACTGTTTGCAGGATTGTGTGCATTCAACGATTTGGTGATTGGAGGCCAGGCAGTGTGTTCAAACACAATGATATCCATAAAGCGACATGGATTTCACCAGATGGACACACTAAAAATCAGATCGACTTATCGCAACCAACCGACAACAGCAAACACTAATCACCATTAACGGGAAAAACCTGAAGGAAGTAGTCTCTTTCACCTACCTAGGCAACATCGTTTCCACTACAGGCACAGGCGGCACAGACGAGGACGTGAAAGCAGCCAGGATCGGAAGTACAGCAAGATAGGCATTCATTAGTCTGAAATCAGTGTGGAGATCTACTGCACTCAGCATAAAGCGTGAACAAGAACCTGATTTTCAACACCAACGTCAATTCAGTGCTGCTATATTGTTGAGAAACTTGGCGTGTTACGGAAAGCATTTCCAACAAACTACAGACATTCATCAGCAGGTGCCGCCTACGCCCACTCGATACTGAAGATCAGATGGATTGCCAGAAGGAATAAGAATAGGCAAGAAGGAATTCTGGCTAGATGACAACGAACCAACCAAGAACCTATTACGCAACAAATATGCAGAAGACGAAAGTGGAGATGTATTGGGCATACACTGGGAAGGCCGACTGAGGACATCACGCGTCAAAGCAGGCCCTCGAGTGGAACCGAGATGGGGAGCGACGAGTTGGGCGTCCGAGGGGAGGGTGACGTGGAGGAGATCATGTGAGGAAGAAAGGAGAGATTCTGGGCTGTCGTGGAGCTAGGTTCAAAAGATTTCAGAGGACAGAGTGCACTGGAGACGTGCTATTTAAGCCCTATGTTCCACTAGGAACCCAAAGGACAAATAAAAAACAATAATGGTGATAATACAACTCATGATTAGCTGTCACACAACATTGTTGACCAAATGACACCAACCTAAAGAGCAGGTTTCAAAATAATTCCTAAAGCGACGCCGAAAAAGAAATGGACAAACTACTTTGACACAGTACACAGTGTCAGGATTCAAAGAAAAAAACATGATGAAAAAGCTCACCATATATCCAGTGAGGCAGTGTAGCACGTAGAACCAAGTAAGACATCTGGTGGACGATACCAAAGTGTGACAACTTCATGACTGTAAGTACGACTTGGCACAGATTTCGCCCTAGCTAATCCAAAATCAGCTAGTTTCAATTCACCTTGTGCTGATATCAGAAGATTTTGAGGTTTTAAATCTCGATGAAGTATATGACGATCATGACAATAAGCTAAACCACGTAACAACTGATATAGAAAAAGCTGGAAACGGAAAGTGCAAAATAAAATAATGACCACATAGAAAATATTTTGTAAACAGGTCAACGATTACACTATATGTATTTACAATACATGGAAATATCGCGATGCACATTTACGAATGCCTCCCTAAGTAACCACCACATCCATATGGTGTACGATTCGATAGTATATATATATATATATATATATATATATATATATATATATATATATATATATAATGTACAAAAACATATCGATCAGTCGATAACAACACGCTGTCACACCGGATACAAGGCATGGATATAAAAGATAACAAACCACGTATGTGGCGAAGAAGAGAGAGCAAGACAGGTGAATTCGGTATAACGATTAAGAAGAAAATGTGAAGAAGTACCTGAACCAGTGAGATCGATTCCACGTTACTCAGTTTTCAATCATCGACTTCCATTGTAATGCAGATCCCGATGGTAGAGTTTACATTTCCCAACATGGATCAGACCAACAGTCAGAGAACTATTAGGCTAATACGGCTTTTAATTCTGACTGGCTCTAATGATAACCTAAAAACACCCTTCAAAAAACATTGTAAGTCAAGGTAGACAGTGACTAGATATGCATAACTAATTTCAGAAGTACCAGATACGATGAAGGATTAAAGCCGTACCAGCTGAATTACTTTCTACTCGACCCATACAACTCATCAGAAATCTTATCCTCGGCTACGGCACACCTACAGGTTTTCGAATATAAAGCCTTCATTAGCATTTTTACTAATCATCCTTGTTGAAATGCTTTCTCCTCCCATAAACCTTCGTCTCGTTTTGTCTATCCTTTTGTCTTATTCTGCTGTGAAGGGGCAATATGAACAAATACACTTCTGCGCAAGGTTTTACGTTGATTTTTCTGTTTAACTTTCCTCACCTTAGACTATGCCTGACTTCGAGGTTCTCCAAGTGGTATTTCTACGAACCATGATCCATGCTATCGAGACAATGGTGGTTCTCATGTCCTCTACCTTTAATGACCATATTTCACAGCCATATAGTGGGATACAGTGAACTATAAAGTGGCAAACTATTGGTCGAACTCAGTGAATTTATGCTGGCACTTAGTTGCTCACGAGGCAGTCAATGCGTCTAACGACTTCAATCCCTATTGTTTAGAAAGGTATAAACATAGACCGAACCTGAAGCATCAGTTTGAAAACAGGCGGTGACGGATGCAACTCAAACATCCTCAAAATGCTACTCGAGATATCCAGAAGACTCCGAATGTTGCCAGAAATCTAGCTTAGTGAAACTGTCGCAAGCGTAAGGAAAATCCAATAAGGGGTCTTTTGTGACGAGATCGACCTCTGTAAAGTCATAAGAGGAAGTAGACTTCCATAAGAACATCCGTGGAAAAGAAAAACAAAAGAGAGGAGTGGATATCCTTGATGGACACCACATAACGTATACAACTCACATTATACCTCATTATGGGCTTGAAAATACCCGAGGACGTTCCGAATACAGATCTTTCAATAGAGTGACTTGCTTACCTAGAACCCACTTCAGTATCAGTCAATGTCAGCAAAATTCTCTATCGACGGAGTCGAATGCCACCTTCAAATTAGGAAATACAGCTTATTTCGGACGCCGGCCATTATGACTACGTTCCAAGATCTGACAAAGTAAGATGTTCTGGTGGATAAATTCACGGCCATGGCAAAAACTTGAATGACTTTTTCAGGTTCGATGTTCTCCAGCTTTGCTTACGCTTTTGATGATTAAAGAGCCTAGGATCTCAGATACCACATCAGTTGACTGATTCTTCTATGGTCGTCACAAGAGGATTTCCTTCTATTCTTAAAAACCAGGACGATCAATGACTGAGACCAATCAGAAAGGATTACACATGACTCTCGTATACGAGTTAACAAACGAGTCAGCCTTATCGAGAATTCTTACTTTTGATCATCGAATATTGTCGGTGAAAGCCTATAAAAGATTGCTGTTTGTCTTCGACTGATTCATTTATAGTCTGGTCAATTTTTGCGAAAGTTGGTGCACGATCTGAATGTGTCATTAAGAATTGGGTACAGTGAACTCAAGAAATGAGATTTTTTACATTGAGGTTACAGAATATCTGCACTCCAACTACGTTAAAAAACATTTCATAACGAAAATAAATAAATAAATATACACTTACTCGAACATTATGAAGCTTAATTCCACGTGGATGATTTTCAATGTATTTACTCAGGTCCGATTGCTAATGGAAAAAAAAAGTGTCGAAATCGATAATCAAGTAGTATAATAGTCGAAAAAATATAGGAAATATGAATAATTATGGTCCAGTCATGTTGAAAGGCTATCGTTCAATACAAACTAGAAATGGCAAAGTTTATTCAGATTAAAAGCAGTCTACTTATTCAAATGACTACTATTCTCAAAACTGTGTCAAACTAATTCCTTTCTGATTATCACTAAAAGATTGTTTTAGTTCTTTCAAAACTGAGACAATCAACAGTGGAGGTCATTCAAAGGAGATCACATCCAATTCTTACATACTGACTAACATTTCAGTTAATCTAATCACTAATCCTGCACCATCCCTGTCGAATACCTCTATTACAAGCTCGCAAAAATCCATTTTTCTTCTTCATTTGGAATTATTTGCGGTTTTGTGAAATTTTGCTTCAGTTAAGTTCACTACTTCAACGTTGTATTCAGGCTGAGAATAGGTAACGGGTAAACTGAAAGTAAGAGAAATTCGGTTGAATTGTTTAGGCTTAGTTCAGTGTAACATCCAATGCAACAATCACAGTCCATGTGGGTGCGGAGAAACTTATCACATATCGACCCTACCTCTTCCATCTATTTGTGCTTCCTTACCTATCGTTGCTCACGTTCATTGTCTACGCTTTTGTTAGTTTTCGTTAAGGTTGCTTTACCTCACTTTGCTTGATCCAAGTGGGAATAAGTTTCAGTACATTAATTAGTTTGGGTGGAGCTGCTGAAATCGACCACTGTTGTATTACCCTTTCACTAGGGTAAACTAAGATCATTGTCAAAGTCTTGACAGAGAAGTGAAAGTGGTTATATATATATATATATATATATATATATATATATATATATATATATATATATATATATATCGGACTGGATGGTGGGAAAATGTGGGCACCGAGTTAATATTGATTCATCGTACACGTTGATATATCAAGCCTTGGGCCACATCTAAAACTACTACCTGACTGTTCAAACTGCACGGGACTTGAACCATAGACCTTTTACTGAAGAGTCAAAAGCTAAAGGGAATTAGTAACATATCCACTGCTTCAAAACTATAGCACTGAGAAATGATAACTTTTATTTCTGGCTTACTCAATACACAAGATGAAAAACGGTTGCCAAATTCGATAACAAAAGAAGAATATTTAATTAATTCTAAAACATACAAACATCTCAGCAAAAAGTTACTGATTTCAGAACAAATCAAAGCTGTGGTAAACAAATTTACTTGACACCGATGATTGACAAATACTGTTAAAACATTTCGACTAAAGTATAAAATGGAATTATCGTCACAAATGACCATTAAAAGAAAAAAAACACACTAGACAATAAGAAAGCACCCAACTGTGTTTTGATAACGAGTGAAACAGGTGTCCTTTTCCTTCTTTTTTAAAATTCGATAATCTAGCCACAAAGGGATAACTAAAGCTTTTTAAACTAAGAAACAATTCTCTTCACAAACACAAACAGTTATGACAGAAACACAGTACCATTTTAAAAGCAGAAAAGAATTTCTTTAAATTTCTCTCTCACTCTCTCATTCTCCAATATTTTGAACATCAGTGACTTATTTAAGAGAAAAATCAGTGACTTATGTTTACATTTCCATATGCACACAAAAAGGCGCTGGTTATATTCGAAAACAGATGTTCTTCTAACGGAGAATCAGTAAAAGCAAATGATAAATCAATGGGTGCAACTGAATATTGCATCTCATAAGGCATACTGAAATGTATCGCTTTATCCAATATACAAATCAATACAAAAAATCCATATACGAAAATATTGGTCATTGGAAAATTAAGGAAACAAAAACACAAAAAGGTTGACCGATAGATAAATTTTGTCCGCGAAAAAGAAAACAGTTGCTGATATTTTTTCCCTATAATATCTTACATGATAAATAAGTCTTAAGCAAATTGATTCATGTAGAAAAGGCGTTCATAGTACACGCATAACGTATGACTATTGTGGTTTAATCACGTGATAATGCTCAGCCCAGTGAAGATGTATACCAAAGATTGCTAATTAGTTAGCTTTCTATAAGTGTAATTTCCCGGATACATGTCTGTGCAATCAAACAATGTCTCCAAAAGTCATATCATCAGACAAACAATATGCAACCAATTGAACGAATCGACAGCCACTCGGTTTGGAGATTTGTGGAAGCCTCCATTGATTTTACGTTGGTATTCATCACGGACCGGTATCAGTTGAAAAACCACTGACAGCCTCAGGACAGTGCAGGACTGTTTCGTCCTAGTATTAGACTCCACAGCAGTGCTAATTAGTGACTTCGGTTGAGATGAGATTTATGGAAGTTCTGATGAGAAGTCATGACCAGTGAGATAGAGTAAGGAGGAAATGAGGACAAATACTCAATGATGACATTGAATGAAGACCGCATTATGTCACGAATTGGCAGAAGTAGGAAAGTAGGGACGATACGATCTCGTTCCAGTAGCCCAGTGGTAACGAGCTCGCCGTGAAACCTGGAGGTCTTGGGCTCGACCCTTAATGGGGCGCAGAGTGCACATAGCTGAGGAATTCCATACAAGGACGAAATAGCTGTCTAATGACCCGGGTTTTCAATGATTCTTCAACTGATACCAGTCCACGACGAATAACAACTCGAACTGATAGCTGTAAGAACTTCAGTAGTTTGATATCAACTGAAGCAATAGTGCGATCAAGTTTTTGGTAGCTGTACAAGTGACATCAGTTGTAATATCCTTCCAATAACCAGAAAACTATTTTCTTAGTCTAGATTACTGGAAGCTATAGCCTATGAGTTTAAACAACATAGTAATGAATATGGTTACACAACAACAAGTTCACGACAATTACAATGCTACAACCCAGGTAGGTAAGAGCAGAAAAACGTCAGTGATAATAAAACTGACGTAGTGCTGCAACAAATACAACACAATGATACTAAAATCGTTCGGGAAATAAGATCAATAGTGAGCACTATTGAGAGGATCTAATATACGATGAGATATGTATTGACTGCTTTTTTTATAATTCCCAATCAATTTGTCGAGAAATATTGCATCATTCAAAAAACAAGTAGTATTTTTGTTTCTGAAACATGACTTGTGATATCAATAATCTACTGATCATTGAATTATTCAGTTTCTGTAAAGTCAATCGAAAATCATTAGAATAAAATAGATTTCGTCTCATATTCTGCACACAATGTTCAAGTTGATGTTTTTTCTATAGATTAGGGTTCATAAAGTTCGATGAACTGAATGTAATTTTTTAGTTGAAAAAACGAAACAATGGAATACTGATCACGTTTATACACTATTACCTTCGTACTTCATAATTAGGGGGATGATGTTTGTCTAACCAATAGAACTTAATGAGACAGCCTATACCTAATGCACGAGGTTTAAAAATACTCACTGGTTGCCTGAATCCTAGCAATTGGGGCGAAGTCAAAAACAGAAAAAATAACGCTTTAAAACAGCACACAAGAAGGGACAAGACAAAAATGAGATGATATTAGGGTATAGAAAAGAATGTTAAAGTAGATAAACAAATCAAGGTTAGTAAAACGCCCAAAGGTGAGGAAAAACTCATGAACCAACTGTCAGGGGTCCAGGACCTAATAAAGTAACAAGTTGATTCTCTTTTTGCCAATACGTTTATGAAGTTCAGAATATTGAGACACTGTCCAGATATTGTATTGCCTAAGTGTTAGGAGTCAATTGACAGTAAGCTCCAGAAGTACGTTTCGTGCTTGTTGACACTCATCAGCAACGTGTACGTACAACCACCAGGAAACACGTGTTCCCTCTGGGATTCAGACCTGTGTCACTCAGTGCTGATGGAGATTTGACCTCTGAGCTAATCAGGCCACGGTATTATAAACACGAATTGGTCAACATTATTTCTCATAACAAATCAGTATACAGAGAAGACGAAACGATAGTACCAAATGACAAAGCAGTAGAAATATACGGTGACAATAATTCTGGAGATATTCTCTAATACAAACTGATTAGAGAAAGACTATTCTCTAATACTTTTATGATGGGAAAGAAACAGAACATAAATGCTTGTTGGAAAGATACGGTGAATAGTATTGATGGTAATTTTCTCTCCGTAGTAGAGACAGAGAATTTATATGGGCATAAGTGTGAATATGTTAGCAGGCTGGACCTAAGATGCACAAAAAACACTCTCTTCTTAATCCGTATGTAGTCATTAGCTGTATAGAAAGGATATACCATATAATTTTCTCTTGACATACTTTTTAGTACGATGAGGTGATTAAATGATAAATATATGTTAGAAAAAGAGAAAGAAAGAATGAAAAAATATGTGCCAGGTATTAGCGCCATGCTACACTACTTTCAATGCAACATAGTATATGAATAAAAAGAGTTTTCCATGGACAACAACTGTTCATCTATCAATTCTTGATCGCATAAAATACTTAAATCTGTTGAACTTAAATTTAAAATAAATAATAAAACCCGAATTGGATTTTAGTTTTAATAATTATTTCGAGCAAAATCTAACAATCTAATCATTGTTTATGTTTACACGCAATACACAAACTACTTATGGATTTATTCGAAAGAATTAATAAGGTTTATTACCTAATAAATGAAAGTGAACTATTGACGAGTGTACACCCTTTGCACAATAAATCCCGATGATTAAATGAAGAAAAAGCTGCAACTGATGAATAATAAAAGTAAGAAAACCAGCTACTTCACAATGCTGACAAGAGAAATCAAAGACGATAATACTGAGGAGAAATTCAGTGAGGTGAGAAAATCGGTAACTGGAAAGTAATAATCGGTATTTTGATAATAAACCAAACTGTAGTGAGAGTTACTTATAAGAATGCATATAATAGTACATACAGAAAAGCATCAACTGTTGAAGAATCATGCAGACAGAAACCACAACATATGACGTAAGTATGAAGGGCAAAAAACCTCGCCTGGTTAACTAGTTCACTAGTTACTAGCTGGTCCCAAGCATGCATAAAGAGGGAAGGTTGGGCATAAGGCTAGCAACCTTGCACCGGAAAACCAATTCAACTGCCACAGAAACTTCATAGCACAAACAAAATATAAAAAATTAACACAAAATTATTCCTCGCTAAAATCGGAGAGGCGAAATGACGCCAGTTGGTGAAAGCCTGCCTTCGGGAAGCCAATCGGTCGATGTGTCTTCTCTCGATGAAAACGAAAATAAACATGGGGACATGGAATGTCCGCACCATGTTTGAACCTAGTTAGCAAGGCTGCACAGATTGCAAACGAGATGAGAAGGTATCGCATTGAAGTGTTAGGAATTTGCGAAAGCAGATGGAATGGAAGTGGACTCGCCAAACTGTCAACTGGAGAATTAATAATCTACTCCGATATTGTCACCCAGACGACAACCACGAGCACAGCACACTGAGTTATGGAGTGGCTATCGTGATGTCCCCAACAGCATCGAAGGCTCTCTCTCATGCTGTGGGAACCAATCTCCTCCAGAATCAGGATCATGACAGCAAGGTTCAACTCAAAAAGAAGGAAGGAAGGTCACAATCATACAGTACTGCACTACGCATCTACAAATAATGCAGGGCAAGAGAAAAAGGAGGAATTCTACAGACAACTTCAATCAACACTGGACAAGACCTCAGTTGGCGATATCAAAATTCTAATGGGTGGGGTGATATGAATGCCAAACTGGAAGGAAGGGTAGGTGCCCGTCTGTTGATTGGAGGAAGGGCTACCTTGTCAAACTCCCGAAGAAGGACAACCTAAGTCTTTGCAAGAACTGGCGCGGAATCACGCTCCTGTCCACCCACAGCAAGCAAAATATTAAGCCGCATCATCCTGGAGAGACTGAAGGATACACTGGACTCAAAACTACGACCGGAACAGGCTGATTGACTGGATTCAGGAAGTACAAATCGTGTGCAGACCGAATTGCAACGCCACACTTCGCATCATCATAGAACAGAGTATAGAACGGCAGTCAACTCAACTCTACCTCAACTTTATCGACTTTGAAAAGGCCTTTGACAGCGTCAACCGAGAAGTAATTTGGTAGTTGCTTCAACATCACGGAATACCACAAACCTTTATCAATCTCATTCAACAACTATGTGAAAATGCCACATGCCAAGTAATTCACAATGGGAAGCTCATCGATGCTTTTGAAGTGAAGTGAAGCCAGGAGTAGACCAAGGCTACCTACTATCACCCATGATATTCCTGATTGCGGTCGACTGGATCATGCTACAAACAGTGAGGAGCGAGAAGAGGGAGGATACACTGGACCGGGGAAAAGAATCTAGAAGACTTGGATTTCGCCGCCGATGACTTGTGTCTGGTGTCACACAAACTTGGAGATCTACAGACGAAAACTAACAAGTTGGCAGAAGAGACAGGGCAGGGCAGCGAAGACGGGTCTTCAAGTGAAAGTAGAGAAGACAGAGGTGATGAAGATACCCAACCAACAACATCAACAAACTCCAATCACCATCAACGGGAGAAACTTAAAGGAAGTAGCCTCCTTCACCTATCTAGGCAGCACTGTTTCAACTGCAGGTGGCACAGACGAGGACGTCAAAGCCAGCCAGGATCGGAAAAGCAAGATAGGCGTTCATTAGCCTGAAACCAGTGTGGAGATCCTCTGCACTGCACTCAGTATGTGGAACAAGACCCGAATTTTCAACACCAATGTCAAGTCAGTGCTTCTGTTTGGTGGTTGAGAGACTTGGCGGGTTACGAAAGGGATTTCCAATAAACTACAGACATTCATCAACAACTGCTTACGCTGGCTCGTTTCTGAAGATCAGATGGATTGCCAGAAAGAATAAGCAACAAGGAACTCTGGAGACGAACTAACCAAGAAACCATCACCCAACAAATATGCAGAAGGAAGTGGAGATGGATTGGACATACACTGAGAAAGCTGACTGGGGACATCACGTGTCAGGCCCTCGAGTGGAACCCCCATGGGGAGCGACGAGTTGGACGTCCGAGGGTAACATGGAGAAGATCGTGTGAGGGGGAATTGAGGGCTTCTGGGTTGTTGTGGAGCCAGGTTCAAAAGATTTCAGAGAACAGAGTTCACTGGAGACGTGCTACTGAAGCCCTATGTTCCATTAGGAACCCAAGGGACTAATAATAAATAATAATAATGGGCAAAAACAGTGCAAAATGCAATGCAAATGTAAGTTAGTGCTCCAAGACTGATATGCAGCTACTCATGTTTGCAGGATAGGGAATAGAGTAGTAGTATTAACTTCTTGGGGAGATGCATCAGACCATACAGGTTGGCTGTTGATAAAATGTCAGGGTGGATCCGAAAGGTTTGTTTGGCATCTACCTACTTAAGCCATCTCTGGGGCCAATGAGTTACCCTACATCTTATTAAAAGACGAGTATAATCCACTGCAGTCCACTGTGCCTTACGATATGACTGTAATAACTGGATGTCAAAAGAAGAGGATATGAAGAAGTTAGAGGTGGCTTCGTAACACTATTCACGTATGATGGAATCACTGTGTAAGTGATGTAAAGGTCAGGCAGAGGGTACTAGGCAAGGAAGTGAATTTAGTCGACGTGGCTGTGTATCTTTTAATGGCTGACGTGGCTTGGGGATGTGTCGTTCTTATACTTATCTGTAGAAATATCACTCATTTTCTACTTTGAAGTGTAACTGCTTGAACCGATGCATTTCTGTGCGAGATTCGTTGATTTCTCTGTTTATCTGAGCCAAAGATGGAGTTATTGCAAAATCTGCTTGAATTTGTAAGAAATTTCACTATGTGCAAGTTCCACTCTTTTACAGGAACAATAAACTACGAAATTCCAGTCGAATATATTTATTACACGCCTGTATCTTTTCTTTTTACCATAGTTACTATAATTACCACCTACGTTCAATCTCATACATTCAAGATGTTATCAGTGACGTTTATCAGTCGACGCCTTGAATATCTTGAATGGCGTGGAAAAACACAAAATGAAAACAGAGATGCTACATTGACGAAATATCAAAATACTGTACCTGAGGAATAAATGCTGAAGGAAATAAGCTGAACATAAGAAAAACTTACCCCTCTTCTTACAATCATTTTAGTAGTTTGTATAATGTCTTTTGTTTTGCTACTGTGTCTCAACAATGTATCATAGTTATTGAAATATCCGTCAATGTATTTGTTCCTTGATGATTGAATTTGAGTGACTAATAAAGATAAAACTGTCAAGTTTTAACACTTAAAAAAAGTCTCTTCACTACCACCATTACTAGGTAGCTAAACATAATTTCACTGAATATTAAAAGGAAAAATAACACGCGTAGAAAAACAAGACGATAAAGAATACACGTCCACTGCTGGGTTTAGAAAACTGCATATGGATGCCTATTCAAACTGCACAGAGATAACAAACAAAAACGAAAAAAAAGCTATTTTGACTACACAACTAACAAGCTGGTTTTTATACTTTGACATAGGATAGATTGACCAAAATGTCTGATAAATTGCATTTCTCCTTTCTCACTATACGTGCATGTAAATTAGAAAGTCTAACACACACACCTACTACTACTACTACTACTACTACTACTACGAGAGAGAGAGAGAGAGAGAGAGAGAGAGAGAGAGAAAGAGAGAGAGATAACTTCCTTAAACCACAAGTCGATAGATGAACAAGACAACCGTCAGAAAATCTAATGCAGCGTGTCATTTTAATTAATTACTTCATCAGCAAAAACCAGACAAGCCGAAAATACCGAAGTTCGCAGTATCGATTTACAGGAAGTAATAGAACAGTCTTCTCAACAAAAATTTTTGTTAACTAAAAATCAGAAAAGTCAATAAAAGTAACTAACCACAAATTCGAAGATGAAGTTCAGTGTATTCTTTGTATGGACGATATCATGTAAAATAACTATATTGGCATGACGCAGTGCCTTCAACAGGGAAGCTGGAAGAAAGTACAATGAATAGGAAAGACAATATTAGTGAAACAAAAAGATATACTACCAGGATTTTAATATTACTCAGGCAGTGGTATACCGGATGCTACGGAAAAAAATGCCTGAGTATTTTCTGAGTTTTAAGGTATCAAACCAAAAAGTGACATTGTCAGCTTGAATGAGGCAAGCTACTTCTGACTACAGCCTTTGAGATGTCAGGCGACAGTTGATAGAAACATGAAAGTAACCAACCAGAAATAAAAAGGAAATGAAAGGTATCAAGATCTTTAAAATTCTGAACAGCTTCTTATTGCTAATTAATATGTTCGCTTTATCACCGTTCACTCATATTACCTAGGCTTAAATTCATATACTTATGCGTGAGTTTCAATATTGTTTTTTCTATCTGAGTTGATAAACATCTCTGTGTCTACCAATACTGTCGTTTGCATAGCCTTACCAAACGCTTTCACATCTAGTCAATCATGGGGCAGATTCGCTGGGGGTGCATGAAGGTGTGGAAATAAACACAACTAGAAATCTTCCCTCAGGGGGGATAGGTGGCAGAAGCTATATCTATTCATCACATTTTAAGGAAGTAAGCTAAATGAATCGAAATTATGAGTTATTGAACATAAAAAGTGTACTTTTAGAAACAAAACTGGATATGGAAGTTAAAGACACGTCTGAAAAATTTACTGGTTTAGTAAAACTTGCAGTTTTAAAAATATCCTTCTTATAAACGTGTATTTAAGAAATTACATAAATTGAGAAATGCAATTACCCTTATCTTCTTTCGACCTGAAATATAGGTCAATTGCGTTCTCTCTCACTCTGCGTATATATATATATATATATATATATATATATATATATATATATATATTAGTGAGCCAAAGCTTAAAGTATTATCCGAAAACTATAGATAGCAGCAGTCGGGTTAAAGATTCTAGAGAGGTGAGTCCACTAAATATTCTAGGAAGTCACTTAGCAAAAGTAGAACTATCGTCCATCTTCAGATCTGCTACTAAAAATCCTATGAGTTAGTAGCATTTACTCTCTCTTAAGGTTTCCAATATAAACCGTTTAATTAAACTGTTTGCTGATTATGAGAGTGAAGTTTTTTCGATGTTCAAGAATGCTCAATTCGAAATATAAACTCAAAATGTGAGCACTTTCGTTCACTCTACACTGAAACTTTGACAGAAAATTTTGCCTCCTAGTTAAACTACTTTTCGTGTGATCCTATTCCATTTTGCAAACTTCTTTCGCGTTCTTCTCGCAGATAGTTGTTGGTATCAAGTAATGCCTTTTGATAGTTGTCTCAAAAACCCATATAAATATCAAGATCTCTGATCATAAATTTATTCAAAGCGGTTTATACTTAAGACAGCAAAATGAGAACATAAAGACTATCTCAAAAATATAATATTACCAAGGGTAGGAAATTGATGCAGTTTTCTGAATTAAGACTCTATATATGAGTTTTCTTAGATCGTGACACTTTTTGTACTAGAGACTAGAATTTATGATCCTGGTTGGGTAGTTTGTAATGAAAACTCTGTTGGTAACACAGCAGAGGAGTTGAAAAACTTAGTTGTGAAAAATGTCAACGAGGACCGTGGAGTTTGTAAATAATCTCCAAATTGATCATTCTATCATTCAATTGACTGTATCAGATTTCTCAAATATTAAGAATGATAACCTTACCAATCAGTTCATTAGAAGAGGACGATCGGAAACATGCTTATATTCACATTCTTTAATTAATCAGGCTATTTTTGATACTTGTTGCTAGAGGTATTCATACCTCTGTTTATCAATATGGATGGCAGCGTATTATAATAGTGGATCTGTATTAGAAAATAAAAGCTTTCGCTAGATTCTAGTCTCAATGTTTCCTTTTTCTATTTGCAAACTGCTAATGTTGAATCATGTTGCAGAATTTCGTGTCGAGACAACAAAATTATATTTGAGTCATACTTGAGCTAATGTAAAGGAATTTTCAGACCTCAAAACAGTGTCTGACATCTACATTGCTGACCATTAAGACGGTATGAGTCTCCTGACTATCAAGTTCAGCTTTTACAGAAACATGTGTTAGTAACACTTAAGTGTCTGGATTGAAGTCTGGAAGTCTTAGTCAGTGTCTTGATTCATGCTCGTGCATTTATAAGATCTTTACTATGATAAGAAAGACACTGGTTCTCACAGCCTGAGGATTTGTGTAATGATGAGGAATAGCAACTGCACAGAAAGGAAGTATTTATTACAATCCACAGATAGAAATACGAAGTAAAATCTCAAAAACAATATTTTAATACACGCATTTTTAGGCAGTTATGTACATCTGCCGGTTGACTGGAAAAGATTTTCAAAAATCTCTACAAATTAGTCTGGATTACATCCATAAGTGTTCCCAGATGCTCAGAGTCAAGCTAGATCTGAGAGTATAGAAAACACTATACGTATTTTTTAACACAAGAATAATCTTTCCGTTTTATGTCACTTAAATAAGCTGACCTTTTCCTCTGCCACAATTACTTGTAACTTTAATCTTTGAACCGTCATCTTTGCAAGATCATTCCCTTAATTAGAAGATTTCACTTCGGTGTATATATTGTCAGCGAATCAACTGGTGACAAGCATATCTGTCAGTATAAGTGAAAAATAGATAGTTTTATATATATATATATATATATATATAGGTCCCTGCTTAATGCTGTTATTTGACATAAGTTACCCGGGTTGTGAGATAACATCATAATGGCTGTTTAAAAAGATACTTACATGTTTGAATAGGAAATAAACATGAAAACGGTTGGAGATGTGATTATTTGAAGTATTGATGTTTATCTACATAAAATGTTCAGCAATCAACTATGCTAGGTTCTTGAAGATTGACGGATGGATTTCAGATGAAGCAAAACTGTCAAATACTTTTCTAGGTCTAGTGTGCTATGATACGATAACATTTCTAACAAAAGATACTTTTAAGTATGCCAATATGCTATGCGTTTAAAACTGTTGTCATATAACTGAACAAATGCCTTTACACAGAAACTGCAGTGAACAAAAATTAATTAAAAGTGACAGTTGTATTACCAAAATTCAACTTTTTGTTATTCCAAAGTTACCTACCGTCTATATATAATCAAATATGTGAAACGGTTGGAGGCGAATGTCGAGAATTCGAGCTTTCTCAAGGCTTCCCGATTGTTGGCACTCACCAGCCAGGTGCATCCGCAACACTGAGAGCATTGATGTCTCACAAGGGATTCAAACCCGCGTCAACAGGTGGTGCAGTCAAAAAAATTACCAGTGAGTGGTACGAATAGCTTGCTGACGTGGGTTTGAATCCCTCAGGAGACAGCAGAACTCGAGGTTTCGGATACGCCTAGCTCAAGAATGCCAAAGTGCACAAAAACTCGAAAGAGCATAGCTTTCTGCCAGTCGCCTCTAACTATCTGACATCAAACAAAAGACATTGTGATACTGAGTCTCCTACGGAATGGTCCATAGAATTTGGTGAATACTAAGGACTAGACAACATGAAAGCGGTTTCTCTCTCAAAAACTAAACAAAGTATAACCAAATATTCAGACACTTATAGAGAAAAGAGAAAAACTATCTAACTGCAACAAAAATAGTAGTAACGGTAGTTGTACTGTTTACCTTCACGAATAGCGGTAAACGGGAGACCTTCTTCTGGATTAATACGTATCTCTTTGACAGCAACAGCACGACGCATTACACTAAAAAAAAAAAATAGACAAACATGATTTCTAAAAAAGAAAGCAAACTATTATGAACACAAGGTTAATTAAACGAACGAACATTTTATACGTTGAATACAAATAATTCATAAAAAAAGACAAACAGCAGGCCACTGAACATCTGAATAACGAAATACCTTGGATAACATTTATGGGTCAGTGCATCAATAACAGAAATGAAAACAGACGAAGTTGATTAGAAATCACAGGAATTATCAAAGCAAATGAGCAATAGATGGAAAAAAGGTCAATTTTAATCACACTGTTCGTTTTACAGTGGAAAGCAAACACTTTTAGAGTTTCCTTTCTTTACACATTTTTGTAATCCTATAGTTTTTCTTCATGTAACTGAAAACCAATGTATTCGTAAAACGATCTAGTGGGATTATCTGATCTATCTTAGTTCACTCCGAAGCGTACGTTACAAATCATGGCAAATAATATTAAAATATGTTCAAACCATCAGTAATTTACAACTTAATCAGTTCTTTTTTTTTCATTTACTAAGAAATGGAACTAGATTACTGAATTGACGAATAACTCCATACAATAATGAATCGGTTTCGGCTTTCATTCCAACGAAGAATGCCAAGTTACACAGGTGGAGAAAATATTCAAACGAAAGTATAATATGAATGAGCGAGAAGCAAAAGATTTTGAGGCAAAGTTCTCAAAAAAGTTTCCTCTAGTAGGTCTGAAGAATACTATACAACTCAGACAAATCTTCTGGGACCTACTAGCAACGTTTTTTTGAATAAACTAGCGAAACTTCTGAGACATGAGGGTTGTATTCATCACTTCGAAACTATGTGTAACTTAATCAACAAGATTTGACTGGCATTTGGAATGAAAGAACCAACCTTCACAATCATACAGTAGCAGATATACAACTGATCTCCCAGTTAAATCAGTAACCTGTTGGACATTATTTGATAGTCGAAGTCATGAGTGCAAAAGTATTATGTCCTATTGCGAGCAACATCATCAACCGCAAAGAATGTGAGTCCATCCAACTTGCCAAACGAGATAAAATATACATACTAGTTTTCAAAGCCAGTTCCTACCAAACAAATAAAATTCACAAATCAATATGTATGTAGCCCATAAACATGCTGTAATCATTCATTATAAAAAAAGGGAGAAATTTCTACAAAGAGACAAACGGTGAATATCGTTCTGGTTGTTATCAAAAAACGGAATGTCATAACAGTTGTTGCTCTTAAGCACTTATGTACTTTCAAACAGCTAAAATGAACTAAAGATATTCTGTGAACTAGAACATTTCTAAGTAGTGCTTATTGAAAGATATATCTTTATGTGCACATATCAGGAGAAAGCATATGCTAGAAGTTTATTGTTTTAGGTGTGAAAAAGGACTAATAAAATGGGTAATAAAGGATATCACTAAAATGGTGTACTTACTGCCTGTCCAATCAATCATAAAGATTAGATAGCTTGTAAAATTGATGTTAAATTAGGAATACTTGTTATAAGAATTTAGATTTATAAATCTGAATATTCTCCGTTACTGAGTTTGGTTGTTTCATCTACCAATCGCTAACGTTCCCTACTGAAATTATACTAATATTCACCAACTTCACAAAATGCCTGAATGCAATAACCTGTTCGACTTGAAAACATATATTCCCTACACTAACTGGTGATACAGACAAAAAAACCAACGTAGAACCTGACACTTCACAGATGTATGTAAGTAAGAAATGAAGGGAAGAAGAATGACATCAGAGTAGGCAAAAGTAGACGAGAGGGAGGATAAATAAGTGATAATTAATGGAAGTATTCAAGATCCTGAAGATGAAAAAGCTTGTACATCTGTGCCGTTGTAATCGATTTTGAGCAATAATAAGATCGGCAACATTATAAAATTAGTTAGCTAAACAGTTGCATCCCTGTTGGTTACTGAATGAATTCTCTACATGCTATTATCTTTTACTGTACAGTCAATGCACTCTGCAGCTTTACCTCACTATCATTCCCCTCTCAATAATAATAGTAATAGTAATAATATCCAACAATTAGTTCACTTTATTAATCTCGACAAAACGAAAAGGTGTTTTATCTGAATCGTACAGTGTATTTGCGCAAGACATTTCGAACATGCTGATCATAGGTATTTATGTGAAAAGTTATACGGTTAAGGGGTAGGAAAATGAATAACGGTCGAATAAGAAGACTACATTGAAGATCAAGAAAACGACAAAAAATCAATAAAACAACTTTAGGTTCCAAGTCAAATTTATCGAGGAAAGTGTTGGTTGCTCAAATACTTTACATGATTCAGACAAACTAAGTCTTATTGTCTTGTCGAAATGATAATAATAACAATTTACTGGTTTTAAACTCGAATTTCATATATTCGCTGATACACTAAGATGCTGTTAACTGCATTTACTAAACCAAACATATCAGCCTAATTCAGTATTAGAAAAATACAAGCAGTTATGCACAACTAAAATCAGAAACTAAACAGTTCACTATAGAAGGCAAACAAGGTCCGAATTGAAGATAGGCACAATTAAAGTGATTATCTAAAAATTTTAGAGATAAAACTTGGCCGAAAAAATAATTGGAAACACACTGACATAAATTTAGTTATAACAGAAATAAATGGCACGACAAAAACTGCAGTATAAAACGATGGGGTGTTTAGGGCATATGATGATAATGATAGAAAAATAACGAATAGTTCATCACAACTACCTTAAATTAGATAAAGGAATCATTATTTCATTTCAGGAGGTACGATGAAAATGATAACCGTAGAGTCTTTTCAGATTATGAATATTTTTTGTGTTGTATGCCGCAAATAGATCGATAATAAATAGCATAGAACAGTCAACAGAAATCCGAATCACTAGTGGAGAAATATTTAGATGACCTATTCCACTTCCTAACAAATCCATTTAGGCTTCATGACTAAGAGCTGACCTTCACCTTTCAAAATATACCGCGGTTTAAAATCCAATTCACCAAGGACACAAATGGTAATGACAGTGTAATGGTTGACCTAAATACATCCATAATGCTTATTATTAACTTTTCGCAGCAATAGTATTAAGTCTAATAGATTGCTTTGAAGGCACGTTAAAGCAACTTCGTCACGTACAGTTACAGACCGTGTGTGTATTAAACAGCAGAACTAAGAAATGAAGAAGTATATACTTGATATCCAGAGATTGTATTCTTTCGTCAAATTGCATTACTATTTATGGAAGAGCATCGCTACTGGCGGATAAAACCATGCAATAACTAAGAATTAGGACATGAATCAGAGTATTTTATTAAATAAGATGTTAGCTAGCTACAAAGTTGGTAGAATTCAAATAGATGCGAATCAAAGAAGTGAACTTATTAGTGAGCTGAGACCGTAAACCATTAGCAGATCGCAGAAAATTATCAGTAAACCGGTAGTAATTAGCACATATAATAGTGACTAATACATGGTTAAATATCGAGTTGCGTAAGTGGCTTTATAAAGAGATTTTCTGCTAGCTTTGACCGGATAAATGAATTCCAGAGGAAAGGATGACAAAATATCAACTGTCACACAACTAAAATCTTGAAATATCATAAGAATTTCACTATAAATGACAATACGGGTTAATTATGCATTATACATATTGATGTAGAGAAATAATTAACTCAGGTCACTTGTGATGGTTAGTGTCAACAAAATTATTTTAAATAATGATAATAAACCACAATTATCATAAGAAACTTATTCAAGGACAAAACTAGGCTTAACGTTGGTGTAAGTTTGATAGAAATTTCTAGCTCAAATGTCATACAACATATCAGGAAATTACGATTACTAAAAGTCGATGCTTTCCATAAATGCTTCTCATTGGTTGGTGGATTGTCAACATGCTTGTTGATCGCTGACTGACCTAAGTGCCAAGCTTTTTAAAATACTCTGGCATTCTTTTTATTTCTTCTATTCAAGATTTCCACATTTTCCCAGTCTAATTCTATATGTATAGATATGAGCAAAGATAAATCACGGTGTTTCACTGTTAGTTGATGTTAATGCAGACGGACATTTTCTGCAGTTTATTTTCTAGATAATATTTGACTTGTCTTCCGTCACTATTGTATCTTTTGGCCTGTTAAACACAGAGTAAAGAAAAATCATAAAGGCTTGTGGGTTACAACGATTCCAGAAGGCTTCAGTAATATAGTTGTCATTTTGGATACATTCTTCAAGGATGACTTTTGGTTGGCAGCGGATTTGACAAATACCTTTTCATGAAGTTGTGTATAGTCGTTCATCTGGAAAAGCCATTAAATAGTTTTCTCCTTTTCACCGCAAGGCTGATACTATATAGTAACTTTGTTCTTTTGAACGTTTCAATACAAATGTTTTTCCGCGCTGTTGACTTGCTACTGTAGTTAAAAATTCAATCTGTATGAGTTGGTTTTTTGAAAACTTGAGTTTACAATTTTCCCAAACCTGTTCTGGTGATGAAAACATCTAAAAATTCAAATTTGTCGTCTGATTTCTCTTCAGTAGTGAATTTGATGTGGTCAAAGCGCTGTCAATTATAAGCGTTTTTTAATTCGTTTCTTTCAATGATGATAAACGTGTCATGTATATATATCGGAATAAAAAATTCAGTTTGATCAACGGCAATACCACAGTTTTCAACTTTTTCATCACCCCTTCTTCGATTAGTCGTGACATAGGTGATCTCATTATTTTCCTAACGTCTTCTTTTACGCTTTGCCGTTTCCTTAGAAATATGTAGTAATGCAAAAACCAAACATGAACATTGAAGCTATGTATTCCGAGAGAGGTATCATTGGCGAGAAGAGTCATTGTATCCTTAGCTAGTATCAGTTGAAATGAGGTGCATAGAGCTGTAGAGTCAAAACATATCATCAGTTCGCACTTTCGATATGAACGTTTCATTTTTCCCCAAGATTGTGTCAGAAAGAGTTGATAGATTGAACGCATGACT